TCTAGATTCAAGGAATCCCAGTACTTAAGTATAAGTTTTATGTGTTCTCAGATATATATAGGTCTGGTTAGGATAAGTGTTTGAATCTGTTTAGTGGTGTATTTTTTACGAAATATCCTATTGCATGTGTGTAAAATATTTCTTTCCTAGGTTATGCATTTATCTGTTCGTTAGTTTCTTACTACAAGGCCCTGGATTCTGTTCTATTACTTTGATGTCATTCATGGAGTTAAAAACCTTGTTATCTTAGATCTTCAGTAAAATAGGAATCAACAGCATTGTTTATTTTAACCGTTGCGTAACAAAATTGGCGACCTTGCCAGGATCCAGGTGCCGTATAATGTATTAGGAAACTGCATCATTTATGCCAGTTATCTTTACCCATCTTTGTAAACATGGCATCTATCATTAGTGAAGAGGATGTTAAGAATTTTCTTTCATCAGAACCATCTGTTGAGAAAGTTGAATCATTAGGGAACATGAACTAAAATTAGTTGCTAAATTTCTTGAACTGGAGTTTCCTTCAGATGTAAATAGATTCCCATTAGTTAACATGATTAACAGGAAATTGTTTGGTATAGAGGATCCTTTTTCAGGGAATTTCCCTGAAGAAATTGACCGTGTTCATGACTTTTCAGCTTCACATGAAGTTACAAGTGAAGGCTCAAGCAATCTTAAAGACCCTTGTGTGCTCTTAGAATTAGAAAAGATCCGTCTGGAGCAGGCCAAACTTGATTTGCGCCGGGAAGAGATGAAGCTAAATCATGAGTTTAGAATAAAACAGCTGGAGAGCAATCCTGTCTCTATTCATTCCTTTGATGTGGCAAGACAGGTAAGACTTGTTCCACCTTTTTGTGAGCGGGATGTCACCAAGTACTTTGTGATGTTTGAAAAGGTTGCACAGAGTTTATGTTGGCCCAAAGAGTATTGGCCAATATTGTTGCAAAGTGTTTTGAAGGGTAAGGCTCAAAGTGTGTATGCATCTTTATCAAACATTCAATGTGTAGATTATGATATTGTGAAAAATACTATTCTGAAGTCGTATGAACTTGTGCCAGAGGCATATAGGCTCAAATATAGAAACACTTTCAAACTAGCTGACCAGACTTATGTAGAATTTGCCAGAGTTAAAGAAGATTTGTTTAATCAGTGGCTTCGTTCAAAAGAGGTAAAGTCAGACTTTGTTAAATTAAAGGAACTAATGTTATTAGAGGAATTTGCCAGATGTGTTCCTAAAGAAGTTTCTCTATACTTATCTGAACGAGGTGTAGATAATATAGCTGTTGCTGCCATTATGGCTGATGAGTATGTATTGACACATAAGACCTATACTAATAAATTTCCGGGTTTTCAGAATAAGAGAGATGTTGTAGCAGCTTCTCACTGTAAGTTTGCTCTTCCAGATGATGTAGTGGACCATGGAAAGATGTCCAAGCCACATGATTTTGTACAAGGGAAGAAATGTAAGATTTGTAATTACTGTGGGAAGACTGGCCATTGGGAGAGAGAGTGTTGGAAGAAGTCACGAGAAATTAAGGCTAAATCAGTAGCCTTGGTTTCCACTAAAGTAAGTTTATCCAAAAAGTTTTCACCTGTAACTGTTTTCCCCAGAAATGAAAATAAAGCTTCTTTAAGAAAGTTGGATGTAAACAGTGGTGATGGGGCTTTCACTGGATCGTATGATAGTTTTATGCATGAAGGTACTGTCTCACTTGAGGGTGGGGAAAAGAAATCTGTTCAGATTTTACGGGATACTGGCGCTTTAAAATCTCTCATGTTAAAAGGTTTGGTTGATTTTGAAAGCCCAGAGAAAATAGTTGTTCATGGAGTTGGAGGATCCATCTCTGTTACCCCTGTGAGAGTGTACCTTGAGTGTGAATTCTTTGAGGGTTTTGTGTGTGTAGGCCTGGTGGATCAATTGCCTATGCATGGTGTTCATTTCCTGTTGGGAAATGATATAGCGGGCAAGAAGGTGAACCCTGTCCCGTTATTATCTGAGAAACCTGTAGCTGTGGAAGAAACTAAGCAATTAGTTGAGGAAGTACCCCATGTGTTCCCTGCCTGTGCTGTAACAAGGTCCATGTCAACCAATATTAAAGTACCTCAGACTGGGAATGTAATCAATCCTGTCACTACTACTGATACTGATGCTGTTAACTTGGCTGATACCTTTTTTGCCACCATTGACTCTGTAGATAGAGTAGCACTAGTTAATCAAACTGATATGTCTAAAGGATTAATTGAATTGCAGCAAGCTGACCCTGAGTTGCAAGACTTAGCTGAAGCTGCTGTGGCTGAAAATGAGTGTGATGAACTGTCAGTTTGTTACTATTTGAAAAGGGGTGTATTAATGCGTAAGTGGAGACCCCATTCGTCCCCAGCAACTGACAGTGAGTGGGTGACAGTACACCAGGTAGTAGTTCCAAATGTTTATAGGTATGATATAATGAAACTTGCTCATGATTCTACTTTTGGCAGGACATTTGGGGGTAAGAAAGACCTTAGACCGGATTTGGCGTAACTTTTATTGGCCTACAATTCGCAAAGATGTTTCCGTTATTGCAGGACATGCCACACATGCCAAATGGTCGGTAAGCCTAATCAACCTCCTGATATTGCTCCATTAATACCCATTCCCCCCTTTGATGCTCCATTCTCCAGAGTGGTTATTGATATTGTTGGCCCTTTACCTAAAACTGCAACAGGATATTCTTATATTCTTACTATCATGGATATGGCTACTAGATATCCTGAGGCTGTTCCTCTCAAAAATACCTCAGCTAAAACAGTAGTAAGAGAGTTATTACAGTTCTTCACAAGGTTTGGCTTACCTAAAGAAGTGCAGTCTGACCAGGGATCAAATTTTATGTCCAAAGTTTTCAGACAGTCCCTCCGGGAACTAGGTATTGAGCAGATCACTTCCACTGCTTACCATCCTCAGAGTCAAGGTGCCATAGAACGTTATCATCAAACTCTTAAAGTATGATTACAAAATTTTGTACAGAAAGTCACAAGGAATGGGATAAGGCTTGCCTTTCTGCTTTGTGCTACTAGAGAAACACCAAATGAATCCTTGGGGTTTTCTCCATTTGAGTTAATGTTCACCCACGAGGTGAGAGGACCATTAAAATTATTAAAAGAAGAGTGGCTTGGTATGGATGAGAATGTAGGACTTTTATCTTATGTTAGTGACTTTAAAGAGAAGCTGAACCGTAGTTGGAAAATTGCTAGAGATAACTTGGTTTCTTCCCAAAAGAAAATGAAGAAATGGTACGATAAGAAAGCGAGAATGAGGGTGTTCCAGCCAGGTGATCAGGTGTTGGTTCTGCTTCCCATACATGGTCAACCCTTACAGGCAAAATTTAGTGGTCCATATTTGGTAAAGCAGAAGCTGAGTGATGTTAATTATGTTGTTTCCACCCCAGATAGGAGAAAATCCAGTCGACTATGTCACATAAATATGTTAAAACCATACTACCAGAGGGATTCACCAGATGCTCCAGTGTGTGCAGTAGCTCTAACACCCACAGAAGATGAAGATAATGCTTGCCCGCCAACATTGGAGATGACTGGGACCTGGGAGAAAACACTAACGCCTGGACCAAGGTATCAGATAAGCTCACCCATCTAACAGCAGAGCGGAGAGAAGAATTTGTCTCACTCTTGTCTCGGTATCAGGATGTATTCCGGGACTCACCAGGACTTACAACATTAGCAGTGCATGATGTGAATGTGGGGGATGCTGCACCAGTGAAGCAGGCGCCTTACCGTGTAAATCCAAATCGTCTTGCCCCTCTTCAACAAGAATTGAATTATATGTTAGAACATGGACTAATTGAAGCTTGCCAAAGTGAGTGGTGTTCACCTGTGACTCTAGTGCCCAAGTCTGATGGGGGATATCGATTTTGTATTGATTTTAGGAAAGTCAATGCTCTGACTAAGACAGACACATATCCGTTACCAAGGGTGGATGAGTGCATCGACAAAGTGGGAAGTTCTAATTACATTAGCAAGTTTGATCTACTAAAGGGATATTGGCAAGTTCCTTTGACTGACCGAGCTCAGGACATTTCATGTTTTGTTACTTTGGGTCAAACTTATAAGTGTAAAGTGATGCCCTATGGTATGAAAAATGCTCCTGCCACTTTTCAGAGATTGATGAACACTATTACTGCAGGAATCAAAGGCTGTGTAACTTATATAGATGATGTGGTTGTCTACAGTGATTCTTGGGAAGAACATATCTCTGAAGTTGGAGAACTCTTGAATAGATTCTCCAGTGCTAATCTTGTTGTAAACCTCGAAAAATGTGAATTTGTTAAAGCCCAAGTACAGTATCTTGGGTATGTAATTGGACAGGGATCAGTAGCCCCACCACTGGCTAAAGTTGAATCTATATGTCGGTGTCCCAGACCTCAGAATAGGAAAGAATTACAAAGATACTTAGGTATGATAGGTTACTATCGTATGTTTATTTTAAATTTTACAGAAGTGGTAGCTCCCCTTACTGATTTGTTGAAGAAAGGTATCAACTTTGAGTGGAGTAAGGAATGTGAACTAGCATTTGATCAAGTCAAAGCTATTCTTTCTAATTCCCCTGTATTGCAAGCTCCTAATTTCAGTAAGCCCTTCAAATTGGCTGTAGATGCAAGTGATGTTGGTGCTGGTGCCGTCTTATTGCAGGAAGATGACCAGGCCATTGATCACCCAGTTTGTTACTTTAGTAAGAAATTTAATTCAGCCCAGAAAAATTATTCTACCATTGAGAAAGAGTTATTATCACTTATACTTGGTCTTCAACATTTTGCTGTTTACCTTAATCCTTCTGGCCATGAAATTACGGTGTTTACTGACCATCATCCCCTCAAATATTTGAACAAGTTTAGAGATAAAAACCAGCGATTAACTAGATGGAGTTTATACTTGCAAGAGTTTCATCTTAATATCATTCATATAAAAGGGAAGGATAATGTGATTGCAGATTGCTTGTCACGACTTTAAGATATTGTTGAAACAAAAATTTCATTGTAAATTTTTCTTCTTAGAAAGGGAGGTGTTAAAGCCAGTGCCATGTTAGGGATTCTGACAGTTCGCGCGCATTTTTCCTTCAGCCAATAGGGAGAGGCCACCTGGATGTCTGTAGGCTCTCAGCCAATGAGAGGAGTTGACACTTTCACTCTTCACGCGCTCTCTCAGGCGACAGCGTCTCTTTGTTCTTTCCCCCTTTTTGTGTTTATCATCACCTTATTTCTAGATTCAAGGAATCCCAGTACTTAAGTATAAGTTTTATGTGTTCTCAGATATATATAGGTCTGGTTAGGATAAGTGTTTGAATCTGTTTAGTGGTGTATTTTTTACGAAATATCCTATTGCATGTGTGTAAATATTTTCTTTCCTAGGTTATGCATTTATCTGTTCGTTAGTTTCTTACTACAAGGCCCTGGATTCTGTTCTATTACTTTGATGTCATTCATGGAGTTAAAAACCTTGTTATCTTAGATCTTCAGTAAAATAGGAATCAACAGCATTGTTTATTTTAACCGTTGCGTAACAATATATATATATATAATATATATATATACCCATATGTTATATATATATATATATATATATATATATATATAATATTATATATGTATATGTTATATATATGTATGTATGTGTATGTATCATGTAATATATGTACATTATATATATATATATATTATATATATATGTATATATATATATATATGTATATATAGTATGTGTGTGTGTGTGTGTGTGTGTGTGTGTGTGTGTGTGTGTGTGTGTGTGTTGTGTGGTGTGTGTGTGTGTGTGTGTGTGTGTGTGTGGGTGGGTGGGTGTTGAGTGTGATTTATATTTTCCCCACACATTCATCGCCCTATTATGCTTGCATTTGCTTGTACATTTACCTTGAGGTGCAGAGCATTGTTGTTATTAATGTATAAGACACACACGTATAAGGAACTCCTTAAAACGCCATTCCTGTGACCGAAAGGAAAGTAATCGTTTCATCGGAACCAAAACGAAATCATATATACAGAATTCACTCTCCTCCCGACGACGCCAAAACGGATTATATATAATAGGATTCACTCTCCTCCCGACCACGCGAAAATGACCCCAATGGAACAACCACGCAACGACCTCCCTTCTCGGCCTCGCAGTCGACAGGATGTAATGAGGAAAGTTTCTCGGGGCAGTAATGACTCTCCGTATACTTCGCCAGACTTGTTCTCGCGCTGAAACTTTAGGCTCCGGGGGACGAACGAGGTCGGAATAGGTGAAAGAGGGAAGAGAAGAGGAAAATGCGTGAGAGAGAGAGAGAGAGAGAGGGGGGGAGGGGAGGGAGGGAGGGTAGAGAGGGAGAGGGAGAGGGAGAGGGAGAGGGAGAGAGAGAGAGAGAGAGAGAGAGAGAGAGAGAGAGAGAGAGAGAGAGAGAGAGAGAGAAGAGAGAGAGAGAGAGAGAGAGAGAGAGAGAGAGAGAGAGAGAGAGAGAGAGAGAGAGAGAGAGAGAGAGAGAGAGTGAGATGTGAGAGATGAGATGAGATGGACGGAGAGAGGGGAGGAGAAGGATTGGTGAAAGAAGGAGGAATTAGAGAAAGAGGGAAGAGATGGTGAGGGAGAAAGGGAGGTATCGCAAAAGAAGAGAAAGAGAGAGGATAAGAAGGGAAAGATTCAATCAAAACACATTCCTTTCATCATTCCCATCTAACAGCATCGTCATCACACCCAAACAAACTACTTTGACATCACCAAGCATTAAAAAAAAAAAAAAAAAAAAAAAAAAAAAAAAAAAATCACATTTAGCTATCCTTCGTCATCACATAAAGATGAAGTTGGAAATTCTCTCCTCAGAATCTTGCCCCGTTATCTTCCGCCGTTGCCCTTGCATCACCTTATCTATGTTGCAGCGCGGGCCTTTACTTTCGCCAGAGCCTCTGAGCCAACGGGACCCTCTGGCTTGGGACTTGAGACCGTCTTTGGGGCAGAGGAGTCCCTGGGGGAGAAGTCCTCGAGGAGAAGTTCGAGTTTTAGGTTTCGTTTTGTTTCCTGAGAGCGTCCACAGAAGGGGTTTCTGTTGGCGGCTCTTTGGATCTTTCAGTGTTGTTTACAGTCTTTTGGATCTGGCTGTCAGATCGCGGTTTGGTCACTGCGATAAAGTTTTGAAGAGGCGGGCGTTTTATTCATTCTGTGTTTATATCTATCGATATTATGTCGGTCTCTCTCTCTATAAAATATATATGTATATATATATATATATATATATATATATATATATATATATATATATATATATGTGTGTGTGTGTGTGGTGTGTGTGTGTGTGTGTGTGTTGTGTGTGTGTGTGTGTTATAATATATATATATATATATATATATATATATATATATATATATATATATATATATATATATATATATATATATATATGAAAGTAAACCAGACATCGGGAACAGTATCTTTATTACGTTTCGGGTGTAAAGTTCGTCAGCCATGACGTGATAACACGTCATT